GGGTTGTTTGTCTCTTTAGTTTATTAACGAGTATTAGATGTGGTCTATTAAGTGCCACTGTTTGGTATGTAAGTACAGTACGGTCCCAGTATAGCTTGTAGTTATCATTCTCAAGTATACTTTCAGGAACGTATTGATAATATGGGAGATGGTTTGTTTGGAGAAGTCCTAGTTTGATAGCTATCTCTTGATGAAGAGTCTTGCCTACTGAGTCTTGCTGTTCCTTATATTCAGTTGCAGCAAATGCCTGGCAGCCTCCAGTAAGGTGTTGGATGCTTTCTTGAGCTTGACATCCATATAGGCATTTGTCATTTTGGACCTGAGGGTCTTTGACGATATATTTCAGGTAATTTTTGGTTGGTATAACCTGATCCTGAATGGCGAGTAATGAACCTTCTATTTCAGGAAACAACTTTCTCCATATCAGCCAATAGTTCAACGCTATATTGTCGACATGGTCTTGACTGATCTCATTAGAATGTCGCCCGTGCAGAGGTTTGCCCATCCAGGTGCTTATTTTTTCGCCCTTAGTAAATGGTTTATGCGCATTTCTGCTTCTCTCAGTTTGATCGGTATTGTATCATCAAGAAAGGCGACCCGGAGATAGGCAGGGTGCCCAGGACCAAACAAGAAGGTAAGGCAGAATGAGTGAGATTTAACATGAATAGAGAGGAATAGAGGGAGAGAAGAATTCCGTCGTAGTGAAAAAAGTGCTAGAATGCGTGAGAATTGTGCGTGAATGAAAGATCGGGTGAATGCCGTGCCGATGTTGCGTCCCAATCAGGGCGATCCGGCAGGTAATTCACCGCTGAGGAGGGTGTTTTTTTAGCAGGTAGGTCTCTGGCATTGGCGGCGATGGTGTCCGAACAACCCGAGCGAGCGGCCTCGGATATCATCGTGACCACGCTGGAGGAGTCCTGCATAACCGAGGCTGGAAGGCGGTTCTGCTCGCCTTCTAGGACCGAGGTATGTTTCGAACATTTGGATCACCCCCTCATAAAAAAAAAGGCGCAGATTGTAACTTTAACAATACTCTGAATTTCTTGAAAGACATCAATAAGTATACCACAATGCAGTCATTGCACCTAATGTAATCCACTAATTTTTGCTAATGGCCATTTGCGAATTTTGTAAATATAAAAGAATGTTTTAAGGATTTTCATACTTTGTAATTATTTTTGTATTAATAGTTTTACTTTCTAATATATATATATATATATATAATATATATATATATATATATATATATATATATATATATATATATATACTGCTTCTTGCTGCTGCCCTTTTAAAAGAACATGACATATTTTAACAGCTAATGCAAAAATTATTTTGTAGTATTTTTTTGTCGTCAAATAAGACACATTTCCTTATTATAAGTAAAGATAAAATAAAAAAAATAGTTTCAGTAATATGTGGGTAAAAGTATAAAAATTCAGTATTTTCCTCTCTACAGTAAATAAATTTGTTAAACTTTTGTTATTAGTGCTGATTTATATATTAATATATATAAATTTACAAATCGTGGGCTTAGGTTCATGAAAAAATTGTTTTGATACCAAGACACTTTTAAAAATTTTTTCGACTCACCAAACGCTGCTAATTCCCTGAAGATACATAATGTTGCAACTCCAAAAATATATTGTCTACTCAAAACACATAAAGAGGGTATGCCGCTGCGCCCTATTGTCTCATCAAATTCATACTATGTAAAAGACCCTGATCACCTGAAATTAAAACTGAACATTAATAAATTTACCTCCAAATTATAAATTCGTTTCTCTCGATGTGGTATCTTTATACACCAATATTCCTATTATAATAGCTTTTGCGAATGACAATATTAAAAAAAAAAGTGGAATGATATCAAAGCGTTCACAGACATCCCTCTAAAAGAATTTCTACTAGCAGTCGAAACAACATTAAAGTCAACATATTTCCTATATAAAAACAAGACAGATATATGTGCTATGGGTGCTAGAATATCCAGTGCCATCGCTCTATTAGTTTTAGAGCATCTAGAGGAAATTGTTTTAAATAAAATATATTTTTATATACATTTTTTCTATCGCTATATAGATAACTGCTTGAGTGCAGCACCAGAGAATAAAATGGATATTTTACTAAATGAATTCAATAACTTTCACCAAAAACTAAAATTCACATTAGAAATTGAAAAAATTGTCAAATTAATTTTCTGGACCTGACCTTACATAGAGAAAACAGCACTATGGTACATGGTACCACCCAAAAAAAACCTAGTCGTCGAAATATCTGAATTTCAACTCTCATCATCCCTTGTCTCAAAAGAAATCTGTAGTTATCGGACTCGCCGATAGAGCCATTAGATTATCCGATCCTATTAATAGACCTCAGGCGAATAAACAAGCAAAAACAACACTAACACTTAATTAATATCCACACCACCTTATCGACAACACTTTCAAATCGCGACTGCATACATTTTACAATAACAATAACAACAATGAAACCAACACGGTAAACAAAAACTATATGTCTCTCCCCTATATAAAACGGTTATCAGAACAAATTGCAAATCTTCTGTCTAAAGATAACATTATGGTTGCTCATGAAGAGTACAATCTTTTGAAAAAGAATTTTACAAGATTAAAAACAAAAACCCCTCTAATAAAAAAATCGCATGTTGTGTATGAAATTCCCTGCTGGAATTGTGATGGAGTATATATTGGACAAACCAGTCAGCTACTCAACTCAACTCAAGCAACTCGAGCAACTCAAGAATTCTTCTTCTTCAAGTGCCCTCTTCACTACGGAATTTGGCAATCATCATTGCTATTCATATCGTTGAAGCTGTTGCTCTAAATAATTGGTTATATGTGCACTGGAACCAGTCTCATAAATTGCGCAGCCAAGATATACGTCATCTTCCCACGCGTCGTTTGCCCTGAATCTTTCCTTGGATAATAAACTGGAGCAATCGATACTTTTTCCCTCTCATCACATGACTAAGATATTCCAACTTTCTTCTCTTGATGGTGATCAACAGCTCCCGTTCTTTGCTCATTCTTCAAAGAACTACACTATTTTTTATTTTGTCTGTCCAAGGTATTTTCAAAATTCTTCTTTACATTCATATTTCGAAGGCCTCTAGTTTATCGGTAATGCTCTTGTCTAGAGTCCAAGTCTCTACTCCGTACAGCAGTATCGAAAAGATGTAGCATCTAACCAATCTCATTTTCAGGTTTAAGTTAATTTCATGACTTCCCAGAATGTCCTTCATATTAACAAAAGCAGCTCGAGCCTTTCCAATTCTAGTTTTTATTTCTTCTGTGATGGCATTGTTGTTATTAACACTTGTTTTCAAATATTTATATTTGTGCACCCGTTCTATTTCGTTATTGTGAATGTACAGGTTTGCATTCAATCTTTGTTTTTTTTTTAAATAATCATGAATTTCGTCTTCTGAACATTCATTGTTAACCCTTTCTCTTCACTAGCTATGACTACCTTGTTTAAAACGGCTTGCAGGTTCTACTGTCTCCACCATTAAAACCGTAATTGATTGGCCGTTAACTTTTATCCCAATCTCTTCTTCCTCCAATGCTTTCTTCATAATTTCTTTCGAATAGAGATTAAATAGCATTGGTGACAGCACATATCCTTGTCTAACTCCTTTTTTAATTTGAATATTCTGATTATAATACAGAGTAGATATGATTCTTATATCGCGAGTGTAACTGTTTAGCTTTCAAGATCTCTAAAAGTTGGTCATGCTTGACGTTATCAAACGGCTTGTTGTAATCAATGAAACTCAAGAATACGTTTCCACAAATATGACAAAAAATAACTCAACCGCCCTCACAAAACATGATAACGAAAAGAAACATAAATTTGATTTTAACCTAACCAAGATCCTAAAAAGTGAACATAACAGGAAGAATAGGGAGATTCTAGAGTCTATACAAGTTTAAAAAAATAAAACTCAATAAATGATAAAAAATGTGTCAAAAATTTAAATAAGATATATTTTAATTTAATTTAAAAACACACAAAAATTAACTGATTATTTAAACGGTATATTAACATAAATAAACAACATATTAAATTTAAAATACATTTTTAGTGGTTCTGTCCTATGCTTGTAATATTATTGTGACGTCTATGTATACTTGTTAGCACCGAAATTTTACATGCTTGGTAGGTCAAAAGTTTCACTTGTAAACCGTATTATGTGTGTGATAAAATGTTTTTTTTTTTTAGTTAATATTACTTCTTGAATGAAAAAGACATATCTTGCCGAAACGTCGAAAAAAAAATATAAAAATGTCTTTGTATCTAAACAATTATTTAAGCCCAAGATAATCCATTAATATATAATATATATATATATATATATATATATATATATATATATATATATATATATAATAAATATATGAACAATGTTAGAATGAAGTTTGGAGAACATCAGATAAATTTGCAAATAGCAAAATATGTGTGACAAGCCAATAAGATGTATACCCCGTGGACATTCAACAACTACCTCTACAAGTTGGAAATAAAATATGTGTGGGCATTTAGCGCCTATCGCCCTATATTCAAAGCGAAAATGTGTAATTGCCGCGTTGGAAGTGAAAGATAATTGGGTAGTGTAGTCAGCATGGGCGGACCAATGTTAATAGTAAAGCCAATGATAGAGTGGTGGGGGAAACGGTGGTAACGGTAACTATCCATTTTTGAAATCGAGCGTTGGCGCCTTAAAATAGATAGCCGAATTTGGGGTATGTAAAAACGTAAAAGTTACTAATAGCCGAATTTTTGGGATGCCAAATTGGAGGACATATAAGCGGACAAGGAGTGAGAGCGGAGAGAATTTGCCCAGGAGCAGCCTGGCTAGCGCAAAACCGGCATCGCAACCCCATTCTATGAATTAGTCTTTCACCACCCCTCCTGTAATGCAGTCGTAAGTTCAGGATTGTGTGTACGTATATATCAACACGCTCTCACAGATGTGCACTCACAATGAAATCACACCTGATAGTATTAGTCCGTATTTTGCTGTGTTAACGTATAGAGCACTTCTCCTGCACTTTTGATAAACTTTGTGACATATCGAAATAACATGATCAGTTTTTAAAAGAAATATCAAGTTAACGGTAAAGTGTATAGTAGATCTTATTCGCCAACACGTACAACTTCATGAAAGTCAAGGTAAGTGTTTTTATTCAATTTAATTAAACTTTATAAAACTTTTTCAACTTTTAAAATTTATAACTTACAACTAATATATCATCCAAAAATTATTTCAAAAGAAATTCAGTAAGTTAAAAACTTAATTTTATAAAAAATTTTGCAAATATAAATGTTGATCTAAACTAATTTTCAATTCTCTTCAGAATTAACTTGTTGAATAAAATGAAACCTTGTTTATATTTTAGAAAACTCTATACCGGATTACTTTAAATAAAATATTGATAAAGATACGAGAACTTTAAAACTATTTTTAATTGAAATTATTAAAATATTTTAATGAAAATATTTTCTCTATAAGAATATTTTGAGTATGTTAGCTACAATTTGCAAATTTTTACACCCAACAAAAACAATTATTTATCTTAAGATAGGAATGGAGAATTATAGTAAATGAATAAAAAGTAAATGAAAACTCTAAAACTGTGATGTTTTTATTTTTTGTATTTTTTATTTAGGAAGTTTGCATGTGATGGTTCTGTGTACTATATTTTTTAGGCTAATATAAAAGGCATAGTCAGTACTAAATTGAAAAGTATTATTTTAATTTATACGGGGTATTTAAAAAAAATGCAAGGAGCTAAGTAATTAATTAACATTAATGAAAATTGTTCAACTGCTTTAGGTCAAACGGTTTCGATGTAATACTGTTGTATCATATCGATGTAATACCGATGTAATTTGTTGATTGAAAGTTGATTTATAGCCAATGCAAAGATTTCGAAGTGAGCACTAAGCCTTTGCTAATCCAATCCGTATTTTTTTAAACTAATGTAGTATTTGAATTTTCTATGATTAAAGTTCCCTTCTTATTCGTTTCAGACATAAGGTATTTGTTGAATGTTCGGGAATCAATTTTAACTCAATATTTGCAAGTTTAATCAATTTAATATTTGTAATTAAGAAGTTTTGGTTAGTTTATTTTCACCCATGATTTTTATGTTATTTACCTCTTTATTACTAGATAACGAGTCTTTCATGTCTTTCTCCTTCATTTCTATGTCTATTAGGTATTCTAAAACCTTTCACTCTTCTTAAAAATATCATTGCCCTAGCCTGGATTCCAGAATTATCTCTTTGCGTCATTACTCAACTTTCTTAGAATTGAGTAGGTGTGGCCATTGTCTAAATCAAGTTTTATCATTGTATTCTTTCTTGTCTTGTTCTGGAATTATTGGTGTATATTGATTTATATATATATATATAATATATATATAATATATATATATATATATATTATAACAATTTATTGTAGTGGGGTATCGGGTGTGCGGTCTGTTATTTGAAAAAAACTCTTTTTCTTTTATTTCTCTATATTTCGCTGATTTTTTGTCAGCTTCATCAGGAGACAACTAGACTATGGTTAAAATTTGTATAAAAATAAAGTGAGAATAAACAATGAATAACTTACAGATTTAAAGTTAAAAATATTTAAAAATGTTCTTGTACATAATTTGTTCAAAACAGTATTACCAACATTGGTTAAAAGCAACTAGGTCGTTATTAAATAAAAAAAGCAAACAAAAACAAACAAGAAACAATTAAAACACAATAAATTACACATTAAAAATATACAGGGTCATTTAAAATATAATTGTAAAACAGAAAAATGATTTAACTTACTAAGAATATTACAGTAGATATTGCTCAACTGTACCGTGTCTGCTTTGTAATTTACTGTATATTTTTCTCTATTAATATGAGATATTTCTAAAAACATTCTTTTTTTGTAATTATTCTCTTGCTGTAGAACCCTGACATTTGAGTAGTCAAATTGATGCCCAATTTTTAAGTAATGGTCAACTGCCTCACATGTATTCTTCTTTTTCGTGCAGTCACTTTTGTGCTGTGTGACCCTTTGTTTTAGCCATTGAGAAGTTTGGCCAACATACGAGCTCTGGCAATCCAAACAAGAACAGTTTTTAGATAACATTGGTTTTGTTTACAGATGGTGTCTTGTCTTTTACTTTCGAAAACAGTTGTCGGTTTTCTAATAAATTATATTGGATAATTTTAATGTTTGTAATTTTTTTAAATAAACTAGCCACAGAAGGTGTTAACTGTTTTATTAATGATAGTTTTTTTATATTGGATTGTTTGTACTGCTCCGTTATCCGTGAGACCGTCAAAAATGTCTGAGTTAAATATCAATTTTTTAAAGATATTTTTTGGGTATCTATTATTTTCAAAGATGTTTAACAGCAAATTTAAGTTTGTGTTTGTGAATTTATCATCACTAATATGCCTTACCCTATTCTTCATTGCAATCACGGTATTAAACTTTTAATGAGTAGGACGATTTGAAAAAAAGTTTAAATATATTCCAGAGTGTGTTGGCTTTTGATACCAATCTATCAATAATTTTGATTTGTTCCGTCTTTAAATAATATTTTGGTATCTAGAAATAATATCGAACAATCAGTTTAATCTCTAAAGTAAATTGGATATGTTTGTTAAAGTTATTCAAAATGTTCAAGGTATTTTGAAATTTGTAAAAATAGGAACAGAACATAAAAGATCGTCTACATTTTTTTAATAAATGGTAATGAGGAAGAGTAATTGTTGGGTATAATGACATCAGTCAAATGGTCCAAAAATGAATTTGTTACTATTAAGGGCTAAGTGGACTACCCATCAGTGCTCCAAAATCCTGTCGATAGAATTATCATCAAAGCTATATAGGTGTTCTAGAATACATAAATTCGGAGTAGTAAAAACTATCCGTCGAAATTGTTGTATAATTGGCACATTTTTTATTTTTACGAATATTAGTACATACAGCGGCAGAAACGCATATAAAAAAACTAAAATATTAAGTAAACAAGCACTACCATGGTGAGAATACAGAATGTCAAAATGCAATCAAGCAATATAAAGCAGCTTTTAATAGAATGAAAAAACATAGTAACACAACTAACATAACTATGAATACAAAAAAAAGAGAGCATATGCCTTGATATCGACAAAAATGCTCTCGAGAAAACCTAACTGGAGGATAATTCGGTCTCAAATATTAAACTGTACAACACCTTTATCGACAGGTTCTGGTCCAAATATTCGATAAAATATCAGGAAAAGACAAATTTTACCAAGTGCCTTTTATTACTCCTTAATCACTAATGTAATATCAAACCCTAACCGAAATTGCTGATGCTTGTGCTACATACTTTGAAAAAAAAAACTCCTAGCAATAGCCTACTAATTCCGAAGAGTTTTACAACACAAAAATCATCACTGATAAAATAACAGCTCGATTGTGGTATGAGATAGAGATAATTTCCTTTATGTATTCGTGAAAAAACTACACAGACAATGCTAAGTGTACTCTTCTAAATAATTTGTCAAATCAATTATGGTTAAATAATGTCTTTCCAACTTTCCGGGGGTGAATTCAATAATTAGGACCTGATTCTCAAACTCAACAATGCACGAACTGAATATTTCCTCATATAGACCGATCTTACCAATGTAAAGTGCAAAGTTCAAGGAAAAATAGTTAATAAAATGATTTGCTATGGTATATTAGAAGATCGTCACCTTCTGGTCACGTAGCAAAGATGGATTTCGACATAATCGAACTACTTACTACTGATAAAACCCTCATTGATTTAGAAGACCAGACTTTTTCTGCTGAAGCTTTCGCGGAACAAGCAGGGAATACTATCTGCGGTTATTCATAGACATTAACAAAAGCATTTGAACAGTGATGGCGTTACTGATATTATTAGATCATTAACACTTGGAATATTCAGTGGTAATATCATTAATTTTATTTCAAATTTCTCCTAAACAAAGCAATGTTTGTAAGTGAAGAGTCAACCACTGATTCTTCTAACAAAACAGTCAAGCTAATAGCACCCTCAAGGGTGTCTGTAATAGCGCAACGTTATTTTTAATGTCATGAATAATATTATACATCATAAACTCTGCATTAGTTGTGGACGATTATAGGCGGTGAAAAGGTTATTAGTATTCTTCAGAATAATAAACATACTTTCAGTACAGCGTCACTTACAACCTCACTTCATGAACTCGGAAAATAGGTACGAAGGATAACAGTATTGCAGTTTTCACTCAGCAAATCAAAGTGTTTGTTGTTTTCAAAGAAACGTGAGCCGATTAAACCGCAACTAAAATTATATAACCAAAACCTGAATTATGCCGATGACGTTAGGTTCTTAGGGATGATTTTTGATACGAAAGTCACATGGAAAAAACACATTCTACAAATAAAAAAAAACATGCCAAAAAGAAATTAATCTTATGAAAACTCTATCTAATAAAAACTATGGAGCTGACTTTAACTGCTTAATCCATGTTTATAAAACCCTAATTAGATCCAAAATAGATATCGGTTCCATAGTATATGCATCTGCTAAAGAATACCTATTACACCACCTTGACGTAATTCAAAATACCGTATTAAGAATAGCTACAGCAGCATTTCGGACCTACCCAATAGAAAGTTTACGAGCAGAAAATGGAGAGCCGTCACTTAAATATGGAAGAATGCACTTATCTGTCACATACGCATTTGCTGCTAATTCTAATTCAAACAACCCATCTAGAAGTAACATATCTACTGATCGTTTTAAAAACCTATATGCTGAAAATAGGAACATGAAGCCGCAATTTTACGAAAGAGTTAGGCAAACCCTTAGAACTTTACAAATACCGATACCAAATACCTATTCCAACTGCATAGAAATTCCTCCTCCTTGGACATTAAGCATTCCTCAATCTGATACTTTCTTAAATATCTTCAGAAAGAACGATACTCCACACTCCTTAATAAAAAATACTTTCATCAACAAACTAACAAAATTTTCTAAATCCTATCATATATACACAGACGCTTCCAAAACATCTACTGGACTTGGGGCAGCTGTCATTACTTCAAATATTACACTTGAGTATAAACTAACATCTTTAAGCTGTATACATATTGGCGAGCTATACGC